GCTGCTTGGTTCCGTTTGGGTTTGGACCGGCCAGTGCCGGGGACACCAGGCAGGCTTCCACCTCGTCTCGTCGGCAGGGACTGTGGGCCGCCTCTGCTGTTGTTGACACCCCAGCCCGGGCATGTCTGAGGCAGGACGGCGGGAACCCAGGAAGGGGTAGATGTCTGCTCTGGTGTGTGCCCCATGCCAGAACAAGTCCCCACCCCTAGGGACGGATCTTGGGAGAAGCTGCGGTCTGATCACAGCAGTCCTGCTTGGGGTGGAATAGCCACGGGGACAGCAGAGAGAGCAGCCACCCCCAGGGGGGTGCCCAGGGGGCAGACACCCCTCCCCCCGCCCCAGGCCACGCCCGTGACGGCCTGGCAGCCTATTCCAGGAGATTCCAGGAGACTTGGCGTTGGAGGTCTCTGGGAGGGGTGTTTTTCCTCTGCAGACGGTGGGGTTTCAAAGTCCCCCAAGGAGGGAGAAGAAGGCCTCAGGGACCCAGGGGTGCAGAAGCAGGCGGCGACGGGGATCGGAATGCCAACAAGAGGGTGATGCGGGAGAAACTAAGGCTACAACAGGCGGGTTGGGTGTCCTGTTTGGGACCTACAGGTGAGGGGCAGAGGGCAAAGGAAAGAGAAGAACCCACCCCCGCCCCAGACCTCTCGTGCCTCGAATTCTATCATCTCAGCACCTGCTTTTCGGAGGCCTGAGCTCACCTGCACCCGTGTCTCCCCTGTATCCGCCCCGTGCCCCAGAGAGTCTGGCTCTTCCAGGCCAAGCCCAGGACTCGGTGACCGCAGGACTAACAGGGCCACCCAGGAGCTCCCGTGGACAGTGCAGAGACAGGAGGTGCAGGCAGCCTGCGCTCAGAAACTTTATTCTCCGGGGAGTCACCCCTCACCCGCCAGGGGCCGCTGCCTGGGACGCAGTGGGGGTGCAGGCGGGGGGCTCCCGCCACCAGGGCAGCGGCAGGAGCTACGCACCGGGCTGGGAGCAGAGGGGGGCAGGCCGCAGGTGAGCAGGAGGCGGCAGCACCTCCGAGACCTTCCTTTAGTACTCAAAGGTCACCGTCTTGACCCGCAGGTACTCGTTCAGGGCTGCCTCTCCTGCAAGACAACACACGCCATTAGGACACGCTGTGGCCACAGTGGCCCCTGCCACAGGCTGCCACTGTTCCCAGCACGACACCCCTGTCATCTCACCCAATCCCGGGGGGGCACCGTGTGGGGGCGGCCCCGGCTCCCCCATTTACAGATGGAGAGCTGAGGCCCACTCCCCAGAATACAGAGCCGGCCGGGGGCAACCATTCTAGAACCTTCCGCTGACCCCAGGTCAAGCCATGACGGGGAGAAGTGCCGCCTCCCGGCCCTCGGCTGGGTCGTGTGGCCGCCGCGTCTCAGCCCGCAGGCTGGCCCTCCGAGGCCTCCGGTCCTGCCCGGGGGGACTGTCTGGGGTGCTCGGTGCTGGCCCGGCCCAGGGAGGGTGCCGGTCCTCTCTGGGCAGGACGTGGGAATCGGAGCGGGGAGGGGGCTGGACGACGTGGGGGAGAGTCACGTGGTAGGGGCTTGGCCGCAGCCTTCCAGATTGCCACGGGGTGGAGGCCAGGAAGGAGATAGCGGACACGTGTCCAGCCTGCGCCCCGTGGGCCCATGTGGGCTCTTCTCACAAGCGCCCTCGGGCCGGCGTGGCCCTCCTCCTGCCTGGCCTGCTGCCACCTTGGCGACGTCCCCTGCTACTGGTGGGCTCACGTCCGTGGGTCGCTGGGAGACACTCGGCCTCCACCGGCCTCCACCGCGTCCCCTCACACTGAGGATGGAGCTGAGCAAGCACCTGTTCCCTGACTTATCACTCGTCCCCTCCCAGTGAGAAGTGAGTCCCCAACAGCCGTCTTGTTCAGTGCCAAACCCCAGCACCTGGGACGGGGCCTGGCGCTCGGGTGACTTTAACAGGTGTTTGTTGAATGACTACATGAAAGCCACCCGGCAGGCGGGAGTGGCTCACCCAGGTCTTTGCCGAACCCGGACTGCTTGAATCCTCCGAAGGGAGCGGCCACGTCGGTTTTGTTGTAGGTGTTGACGAACACGGTGCCTGCCTCGAGCTTGTCGCTGACGTACAGGGCTTTGTTGATGTCCCTCGTGAAGACGCCAGAAGCCAGGCCGAATTCGGTGGCGTTGGCCCGAGACAACACGGCGTCCACGTCCCTGGAGGGAAAATCCAGACTCGTGAGCCGTCGGCCCCAGGACCCTTCGCAGACGTGAGAGAGGGCGCCCACGCCGCGTCCAGCTGGCCCCTGCGGGGGAGTCAGTCGCCGCGGCAGAGCCGAGGTGAGGACAGTCGCTCTGTCGGCCCAGCGGAGGCCCCGGCGTGGCCCGGAGCAGAGACAGGCTCACCCGTGGAACCGCTGACTCCGCAGGGAAACAAATCCCCTCCTTGTTCTGAGACGTTCTGTTCTGGGGTTTTGGTGCCCGGCCACAGACCGCGAGAACGGAAGCCGGCACGCCGCGAGGACCATGCGGAGAGGGCCAGGGACAGCAGGCGCCAGCGAAGCCCTCCTGGCCACTGCGGCCGAACTCGCGGGGGTCAGAGACCTCCGTGGCTGAGGAAGGCACAGGACTCCGCCCGGCCGGCCGTGGACCACCCCCCCCGCCAAGCTTGTGCAAAGACCCCAGCAACGCGTGGAAAAGACCCAGCCCCTCGAGAGCCGGCAGCGGGACTCCCTACCCGTCGGCGAACCGGGAGATGATCATGACGGGCCCGAAGGACTCTTCCTTGGCGATAAACATGTGGTCTTCCACATCCGTGAAAACAGTCGGCTCAAAGAAGAAACCTGCGGGGGGACACACGGCCCCATGGCATGCAGGACGGCGCGGGCCCCAGCGGGCCAACCTCCCCTGCCCGGCCGGAGCCTGGGTCCCGCCGGCCACCGCGTGGGCGCCTCGTTCCAGACGGACGCCGACCCCGGTGGGCGGCTTCCCCACGCCGGCCTGTTTTGTTACGTGATCTCGCCGTGCCGCTGCGGGGAAGGAGGCTACGGCTCGCAGAGTCGGCAGGGACAGAGCCGAGGCTTAACCCCAAGCCTGCCCAACTCTGGTGCCGAAGCCCGTGGCCATGGCAAAGAGCTGAGTATTTCTGGTGACAGCAAGTCTGAAAACCCGTCTGGATTATATGGCAACTGAAGCCTCCCAGGGGGCTGTATGGGGGGCGTGCGGGGAGCTTTCATGTGGTCCTGGGGCAGCCTCGCTCCTGCAGTTCCCACCAGGACCCAGCCTCCTGCTCGCCAGTCAAAAAGACACCACCTCGGGCCAGGCGCGGTGGCTCACGCCTGTGAGCCCAGCACTCTGGGAGGCCGAGGCGGGAGGATCGCTCGAGGCCAGGAGTTCGAGACCAGCCTGGGCAACATAGCAAGACCCCATCTCTACTAAAAATAGAAAGAAATTAATCGGACAACTAAAAATACATAGAAAAAATTAGCTCGGCATAGTGGCGCGTGCCTGTAGTCCCAGCTACTCGGGAGGCCGAGGCAGGAGGATCGCTTGAGCCCAGGAGTTGGAGGTTGCTGTGAGCAAGGCTGACGCCACGACACTCTAGCCCGGGCGACAGAGCGAGACTCTGTCTCAAAAACAAAACAAAAAAGGGACCACCTCCTCCCAGCCCTTGGGACAGAGCCACTTCGATGGCAGAAATGCTTTGTCTGACTATGTCGTCTCTAGACACACAGCCCCAGGGGTCCCCGAGAACCCGTAGGGCTCAGATCCAATCCTGCCTGACTCAGGGAATATCAAAGAGACCTGGAAGTTTCTCACTGTAGTTTTAGAGAAACGAAAATTTCTAAAAAAATTTTAAAAGGGATTTCACTATTTTTCAAACATTCATCAATTACATTTAACATTAACTGTAATTTTTTTTTTTTTTTTAGACAGAGTCTCACTGTGTTGCCCCGGCTAGAG